TATATTTTCTTACTGAAATATATTTTCAACTAGACAAACTGAATTTTTACTAAAATATTTTGATAAAACAGTAGCATTTCTGAAGAAAGAGTTCTCATATTCTATGTTAAAACAATAATTAATTTGCTATACGTGATTAATGGTATTGATTTTTATAAAATAATGATACAGCTATACTGTACTTTTAAAAGTTTAAAAAGCTTAATTTTACTAAAAGTTAATATGTAAACTATTAGTTAAATTAATTGCCTGACTGCAATAGGGATCAGACTATTAATTACATTCAAGCTATAACTTTATTAGATTTCATATATATATATATATATAATTTTTCTCTGATGTTTAGAAACATTAAATNATTTATACAGATGCTGAATCTTAGTTTAAAGTATTAAAAATAAAATAGTACTTAAATTTCTTTTTTGTTGTTATTGAGAAATAAAAAAGTAGGTTTTGAGTTCTAGAAAAATTTTAGTGTGGAATATTTTAAATTTTCCCTTAAATTTCTTTAATCCATCTGGGTTATTTCATATTCTCATAAAATGTTATGCTCCATATATACTGTACATATAATCATCTAAGAGTTTCACATCAAAATGACTATTCTGTGCGTATTTTATGGCAAAGTTTAGATGTAGGATATTGTAAATAAAGCGTGATAAGTTTAAACTATATTTACTGTATAAATTTTTCTTTAAAAAAGTTTAGTACACTTTTTCAATTGGTATATTGTATTATTATGAAGATTGTATTTGATGCGCTCTTCGAATAATTATACTTTTTAATATTCCAACAAAAAAAGAAGTAAATATTAATATTTTATTTCTTTAAAAAATATTTAATAGAAACAAAAGAAATATTGTTCTTATTTTAGCTAATTTAATATACCTTACATGACATTTATTAATATTCTGTAATCATAAAAAGCGTTTATTATTGTATAGTAAACACAGACATGTTTTAAAATTAATTATTAATAATTAAATTTTAGAATTTTAAAAGTTTGTAAGCATTTTTCGAAATTTTTCATAAAAAATTATAAATTTATTTTTAAAATGTATAATATAATTTTTAAAAATTTTAAAAGATCAACTATTAACAATTTTAAAAACAATGTTATTAATATTACTACTGTATTTTGTTATTGTTTACAGATTTTTATGCTATCAATTTAGTTTCATATACTGAATATTACAGTAATATTAATCTACATGAATTGAATTTTAATAATTTTGTTGGAAAAAACATATAAATAATTTTGGGTCTTGATATATTAATCATTTATAAAACATTTCAAATAATTTTATTAAAAGATATAGAATTTTTGTATTAACTTTTTCAATTATAAATATGGTACAGTGGAAATATTTTTGGATTGGATTGATGAAATAAAGCAACGCAGCAAGTGGGCAATCTGCCAAAGGGGGGATGCATTTTGAGAGAACTTTCTACGAAAAATTGTCCCCTATTCGGGAGTTAAACATGTGATTAAACCCTGAAAACCTCGCATGGTCAGTCTATTGGTGAGGCGCGAATTTTCACCAATTACCAGTGTTCAGTGGTATTATCCACTCCACTGGTGAGTATATTTTTGAGTAAAGCTATTTTTATAAATTTGTAAAATAATTTATTTTGTAATTTTGATTATCTATAACATAATAAAAGTATTTTCAAGATTTTGTAAAATTACATATTTATTTACCGGTATATTATTTTTATTTACTTCTTATAATAAATCTTGGAGATATTAACATTTCAACACAGGACACTCTTTATATTAGAAGTAATATTATTTTTTTAAAACTATTGTGTGACATATTTATTTCATTTTTTACTATTATACAAATAAAAAGTTGATTAGACGAAATAAAATTTACGAAAAAATTGTAAGGTTTTGAGAAATGTTTAGTATTGTATTACGTTTGAAATCATATTTAAAATATATAAATTCAAATTTTAACATGTTAAAATTTCATGTGATGCGGTTTTCTCTTATAATAGCAAAGTATATAAATTATATTTAGTAATATAGATTTTAACTATTAGATTTACGTAAAGTATTACTATTTTCTACACGTTAGCTCTTTTATTTTTTATATTTTTTTCGAAGACTTTTTCGATTTTCTTTAAATCTACTCGAAACGAATTTCAAATATTTTAATTAATTTCTTATAATAAAAATTATTATTAAGTCTTCATTTTTTTAAATTTTATTTTTATTGTTTTTATTGTATATCTTTTCAAGCTTCTATAAATTGATTCTTATGAACAAATATATAATCTTTTCAAGAGATTGTGTGATTTATTTAGACATTAATGCTCATTGGATCAAATAATCATTATCAATTACTAGAAGACTTCAATTAGAAAATATATTTTTATGCCTAATTATAATGTATAGTTAAAATTTAAAAATCTAATAAAAATTAAATGTTTAATCTTTTACCAACTGTGTACCAATAAATATGATTATTTTATGAGTATTTTTAACTAAATAAAAGTTTCCTTTTGGGCTTATTCTGTTAAAAATTAAATTAAAATGATTAATTTTATAATTAAATATTTATGAGGTTTAAAGTATTAAAAAATAACGATAAAGAAATTAAACCATAATGGCTATAATAAGTACTGTACATTAACAATTACTTTTTGAGTAATTTCGGCTGATGTCTTGTAATTTTGATAACATATTGCAAACTAAATTTGCTGTGGGAATACCAATACATTTCTATAACAAATTAATCAATAAATAATTATATAATCAAATTATTATCTTAAAATATTATCCCCCAAAGTATTTATTATTTTGAGATTTTCTAAAAGATTATATCAATTTAGTAACTTTTAATGTTAATTTATTAAAAATATATTAAAGACCACATTAAATACACTAAAAATTGCTTATTACATTTAGAAATATTTAAAGTATGCAATTTTCTTTAATGATAATTATCTTTTACTAAAATAAATATTAATTATTAAAATTATGATATATTGTTGCCAAATGTCATGTAAAAATGTAATCTAATTATTATAACATTTTTGAGGAATAATTATTGTTTAAATGAATGTTTTTTTTCACTCTTTAAGTGAGTAAACAATTTTTTATGATGAATCTTAATTATTAATAAGGAATTGTTGGTAATTAAAATATTAAAAATATTTTCAATAATTTTTTTTTAACAATTTCGTTAATAAATAAATGTTAACTTTTTAAAGTATGGCTAGAGTATTTTCAATTATATTTTTACTAATTTTGATTAATATTATATATTTAAAAAGGCCAATTAGAGTAATTTAAGTAAAGTATAACAAGAAATAATAAAAAAAAATTAAATTTTAGATATATAAAGACAGATATTATCATGCTAGAAGTATGTTAAGATTTTTATTGCTATGCTAATAAGCAGCTATTATTAAATTTATTGCATTGTTATAATAATCTCTATATCTTAAAGTCAATTTTTATAAAAGAAAAATGAAAAGTATAAGAAGATTTTTTAAAATATACTTTTACGCTAATTTTATTTTTTTATAAATTTTAAAACAAATGAATTTTATCATTAACATTCCTGGATTTATGTTGTTATTTTCTGAATTTCTTGTATAAGAATGCCATTTCTAATCGTTTATTTTATTTTATTTTGGTGAAAAGTAATCATTTGTATTATAATTGTTTTCATAAAATATTTAAAATTATAGAAATAACTATTCTTAGTTTTTTAAAATCAATTTCTTTAGTTTCTAGTGATAAATCTGATTAACCAATGCATAGTAAGAAAATTTCAACATAATGGAATTAAAGGTTTCCTTTTTTGGCGAGATAAACTCCTCAATAGAGACTAGAACACTTAATTAATGTATATCATTAATATAAAGAATACTTCTTACCGCTTTAGAACTTGTATAATTGTATAATTAATAAAATGTAGAGCACATATAGGATAATTCTTTATTAAATATAATTCTTAATAATACAGTTACATTTCTATAAATTATAGTTTTAAAATTAACTTTCAAAACGCTACAAACATTATTTCCACCCTGCTGATTATAAATGAATATAAATGACACTCCAAATGTTAAAATTTGGTTCCTATGTTTATTCGTTAAACAAATAATTTGCGACTTACATGGAATGTAAAAGTCATTATAGTCTTTTAATTAGTTATAATGTAAAAATATAAATTACACCATAGAATGCATTTAATAATTGATATTTTAGTAATTATTAAATTAAAGTAAAATTAAAACAAATAACAATTAATTATTTTTATGATCAAATTTAAATTCTAACTTTCAACCATAATTGTATCATATATAGATCATTGGATTGATGAAATAAAGCAACGCAGCAAGTGGGCAATCTGCCAAAGGGGGGATGCATTTTCAGAGAACTTTCTACGAAAAATTGTCCCCTATTCGGGAGTTAAACATGTGATTAAACCCTGAAAACCTCGCATGGTCAGTCTATTGGTGAGGCGCGAATTTTCACCAATTACCAGTGTTCAGTGGTATTATCCACTCCACTGGTGAGTATATTTTTGAGTAAAGCTATTTNAGTAAAATCTGATCAAAACGGAACCTTATTAAAATGGAAACCTGCCTAAACGGGAAAAATTATTCGAAATGCAGCAATTTTCTGTGTTTAAAAAAAACCTGTTGAAAGCGGAAACTTGTCAACCCGGAAAAATATTCGGTACTCTACAAGTTTTACTGTATACATTTTTACAAATAATCTTTTTTTTTGTACAACTAAGCTATAGTAATTTTAAATTAAAATTTCTTAATTAGAAAAATATAGCTAAATAAATATTGAACTGTTATTTTACTTCTATATAAAATTTTAAAATTTTCTAAGTAAAGTACTTTAACGTGTTTATTTTATTAACATGACATTATTTATAATTTAATTATTAAAAGAAAATCTATTAATAAGTAAAAGCTTGCATACATTTATTTAAAATGAATTAACAATTATAATGTTTTTATCTTTACAGGATTAATTTCATTGAATTCATCTCGAATATGTCTTTAAACGAAACAACTTTATTTTTATTTGCCTCTCAGAACTTTACTACAGAAGATAATTTTAGCCATTTTCATCTATTAGAGAAATTGCATCAACTCATGAGTAACAGAGCCATCGACGATTCAGCACTCATTGGACTTCTCACAGCCTACGTCGTTCTAATCTTAATTGGAGCAACCGGTAACGGACTAGTTTGCCTAGCAGTCGCTCGAAAACCTCAAATGAGAACTGCACGTAACGTTTTCATCATCAATTTAGCCATTTCAGACCTGATACTCTGTCTCTTCACAATGCCTTTCTCTCTAGTAGAGATCACATTGAAATTCTGGCCTTTAGGAGAGCTGACATGTAAATTAGTGGCAGCACTCCAAGCTACGAGTATTTATGTATCCACAATTAGCATAACTGCAATTGCTATGGATCGTTACAAGGTAATATTATATCCCACACAAGAGAACTGTAAACCTTTAAATGCCGTACTTACTTTGACGTCAATCTGGCTGATAGCCCTTCTATTATCTACTCCTCTCTTTCTCTATAGAGAAGTTGAACACGTCAATGTAAGTTTACCGCTGTTAGATTCGGTCGACTACTGTTTAGAAAATTGGCCATTGAGTTACGGAAGGCCATTATATTCGTTGTTTTCTATGCTGTTTCAGTACGTGTTACCAATTGTAATTGTAAGTGTTGCATACGCCCGAATATGTAGAAAATTGAGATATCGACTTATTGCAAAGGGTACAAAACTTCAAGAAAAGCAAGAAAGAGATAAACAGAGAATGAAAAAGACGAATATTTTATTGATTTCGATTGCATTGATATTCGGTATAAGTTGGTTGCCTTTAAATATTCTAAACTTGGTTACTGATTTATGTTATCCTTTTCATGACAATTCTGTATTTAGAATTGTTTTTGCCTGTTGTCACATGGCTGGAATGAGTTCTGCATGTTCTAATCCTCTTTTATACGGATGGCTTAACGATAATTTTCGTAAAGAATTCAAAGATATTTTCCGATCTTGTTGCCCTTTAGATTCTTCACCAAAAATTGGAAAAAAATGCTTTGGAAACGATAAAACAGAATCTGTCGTCTTATATACTAAAACTCCTCCAACGATTGTCAATCATGTCGTTGAAACTCGATCCCAACACACCGGAGCTATTGTTAGAATTCTATAATGGATTGTTTTGTTCGCTTTTTCGAATGTCATATACACAAGACAAATTACTGTTTCAAATTGATTCTAAAGAAATTATATCGTGGAGGAAAAATGGAATAAATCTTAATATTTATAAATATAATGTTATATATTTTAATTAAATAATTATAAAAAAGGTGCATTTAAAAATCTAAATTAGAAAATATTAATCGAATTTTAAAATTTTATTATAGAAAAATTGTAC